AGGCATTGGGCATAAGTGGGTTATCAAGTAAAAAAACAAGAGGCGACAGCCCGCTGCATGGAGAAGTGGTGTCACAGCGAGGGCGAGTCGACGGCGACCACACAACAAGAAGGGCTAGCAAAGACTGGCAGTCGACTGGTGAAGGCCAGCTGAGAGCTGATCAAGAGGTGCATGGTGTGCTTCGTATGCTAGAGTACAGTCAGGTGTTAGTTAGCTGTCGATCTGGCAGTGCATTAGCAACCATGGCCAGTGGCTAGCCGAAGCAATGTCCACTCCAGGATCGGCAGCAGTTAGAGAAGGCGCCCTCATCCTTCGAGAATATCGCAATACGGCGCTTGGCGGGCACTACAGATGACAGTGAGCCGGCGTGATGAGCACGAAGCCCTTAGGCCGGGCATAGGCAAAAGCATGGACATAGTGCACTAGCGGGATTATAGTGGCCAGATTCATCTATCCCGGACACGAACGGGGACTGCAACCCGACCAAAGCGGGATCCTGGGTTCGGGGGACGGTGGATCTTTGGTGGCGACGAGGTGAGAGTGGTGGACAGGAGTAGCCGTGGCGAGGCTGACAATGTCAGGGTGCGGTTTCTTCCCTCATCCTGGCCTGTGCGCGCTAAATTTGGCTCTCCACTTGTTGCAGCGTCCCGCCCGGCACGCCTTTTAGCCTAACCTCCTCCACACTACGACGTTAATATCAGACTTCATCTAATATGGCACTCGCTCCGGCCTTGTCTCCGGCGCTCATGCAAGGCAAATGCAGCAGGCTCTTGCCCTGGCCCTGACCCTGGCCCGATCCACCACATGCTGACTGCAGCCAAGCGCCTGCTGGGACAACAGGCACACCACTAACGAAGACACTGGCCAGGGATCTCCTCAACATACCGCTCCCTCCACCCGCTTACGTACAGGATGTGCCCGCACCCCGGTCCTCTACTGTGACTACAGCCTGAGCACATAGTAGCAATCTCCTCAATCTCGCTCTGCTAAACTGCCCCGGTACGTACCCAGCGACCTGGTTGAATCCAAAGCCGAGAGTTAAAGCGTGATCCTACTATGTGCTTGTCCATCACGATCCACCGCGGCGGCACGATACGATATTTTTTTCACGTGGCATCAGCCTTTTCTCCTCAACGGGCATCACCTGAGGATTTGGCAATAGTGTGCTGGCCAAGGTTAATAGTACGCCCCATTCCATGTCAGCAAGCTACTCCCCGGTTTTACGACCTCCACGATTTTTGGAGGCGTCAAGCTGAACTCAATGCCGTGGTACGCCTAAGACTAGATCCGACTACAAGTCGTAACTTTCAATGTGGTGGAAACAAAAATGGAAAATCAATAGTCCCTTGATCATTTACCGCATCTGGACCGTTATACTTGAGGTGATCTATGGGATAAATTTTGCCGAGACTTCTTTATTAATATGCCTAGATTCCTCAGAGACAGCCACTTCAAGTATTCATTGTTTCACTTCTCTTTTAATCATGTCGTCCTATTCTCGCTCGTTATTGCGAGCATGCTTAGTCTCTTCCCTCTCACTCGTTCTGCAACCAGTGTCGGCGTTTGTGGGAAGTGCAACGGTCTCAAGCACCGTTTTGGTCATCGCTCGCGATGCTACTTCCGCGCTGAACAGCGCCTCACTTGGTCTTCAGGGCTATGGCATACCCTTTGAGACCCTAGTTGTTCCTCAGGCTGGTATTACCAATCTTCCCCTTCTCAATGCTTCTGCAACAAATGGCAACTACGGTGGTATCGTTGTCGTGGGCGAAGTTAGCTACAACTACGATAACTCGTACCGAAGCGCACTTACAACCGATCAATGGAACCAGTTGTACGCTTACCAGACCAACTTTGGCGTGAGAATGGTCCGCTTGGACGTCTTTCCTACCACTGAATTTGGTGTTGTTAGCACTGGTGGCAGCTTGGAGGATCAACCAGTCACCTTCACCAACACAAGTGGCTTCCCTTCGGCCAATCTCAAGACGTAAGTGCAGAAGATTCCTTGACTCCAATTTCCACAATGGGCCGAGATCTCTGCTCGACTTCCACAATCGGTGCCGGTGGCAAACGTTGGCAGTCAGAAACATGAGGTGCAAGCAGGACTAACCATGGTGACAGGGGTGTGCCGATCAGCATTGCCAGCATCTACCATACTCCGGCCACAATCACAAACTCGTCAATTGCATGGGAGTTTGCTAGCTTTTCCAATGCTGGTACTGCTGCAGTCATCAACCAGATTGGTGCACGCCAACAGATGGCATGGTTTCTTCCATTTGCGCTAGACTGGGCGCCATCCAGCAACATTCTGCAGCACGCGTGGATCACTTGGATGACCAGAGGCCTCTTCCTTGGTTTCAGGAGAATCTATCTCAGCGCGCAAGTTGACGACATGTTCCTCGAGACGGGCTTGTACCGCCCAGCAGGCCAAAACTACCGCGCCACGCCACAGGATCTCACGACCCACGTGACATGGCAAGCTGCTCTCAACGCAAGGCTACCCGCGGGATCCGAATTCTTCATTGAGATTGGCCACAACGGTAACGGTGACATTGAAGCATCTGCATACACAGATCTGGGCCAGACACGCTGCAGCCCTCCCCAAGCTATTGAATACTCTGATCAACCTGACGGCAGCCCGGAATACTCCAAGCCCCCTGGTACCGGCGTAAACATCTGGCCTACGACACCCACTTCGTACACGTGGAGTCTCCAGTGTGCCCAGATTGACCCGCTTGAGAACTGGTTTGCAGTGACATCAAACCGCGACGCTTTTGCTCATGTCTCCCACACCTTGTACGTATCCAATTGCTACTAAGACCCTGGCCGCTGCTGACAAGACGCTAGCTCACACATGGACTTGACTAATGCCACCTATGCGGATACATCAAAAGAAATTTCCTTCAACAGAGCGTGGCTCAAGCAAGTAGGACTCGATGCTGCTAAGCGATGGAGTACCAAGGGTCTCATCCCCCCTGCCATTACTGGTCTGTTCAACGCAGACGCCATCAAGGCATGGATGGATAATGGCATCACCAATGTGGTTGGCGACAATACCCGACCACGTCTCCGCAACACGCAGAGCTCGTTCTGGCCACTGGCCACGACGACGTCGCTTAATGGGTATGCTGGTCTGAATATCATGCCTCGTTGGGCCACTCTGATCTACTACAACTGCGATCTGCCAGCCTGCACTACCCAGGAATGGATTGACACATCTGCTGGCGCCGGTACATTTGACGACCTATTGGCCAATGCCCGGGATACGGCGATGCGCAATCTTTTTGGGCTACACTGGGATCCGTAAGTCTCCGCCCCTATCCGCTTGAAGAAAGTTTACTGAGACATTACGCAGGTACATGTTCCACCAGGCTAACATGCGGGTTGCTGATGTGCCAACGACTACTATTAATGGCAAGACGGGCCAATACTCGCTACTCATGTCGTGGCTCGAGGTTGTGACCAGTGAGATGACGCGCCTGTACGTAAACCATGGCCGTATTGGATTAAGCAATGCTGACACACGTCTCTAGGACGACCTGGCCCATGAAGACGCTTAAGCATGACGACATTGCCCAGGAGTTCCTCAACAGGCAGACGCGCGATCTCTGCAGGCCTAGCCTGACGTGGAAGACATCGACTAATGGCGCAAGCATCGAGTCTGTGAGCGTGTTCACGGCAGGTGGAAACAAGTGTGGTGCAACTGTTCCAATCACGGTGCCAGGGTCGGTAGCAGACTCGACTGGCGCGACCAAGGAGCAGCTAGGCAGCGATCCCCTGACTCTGTGGGTGTCGATGAGTGGTGCGAGCAGGACATACACGCTCTCGTCGGCATTGCCTCTATAGGCGGAGTGGCGGTCTTTCAATATTTGTTTGCATTGTTAGTGATTACATGATGGCTACAAATGTCTAATAGGAATGCTTAAAGACGATATTCGCGAGTGCTATGAGTGGGTCCGTGGTGAAGAAAAACCAAAACGTGTACACAGTATGCCGCCTTAGGATGATGTGATGCGAGGCTACATGTCTACTTTTTACTGGAGTGGCGTTAGCGTAGCCTTGCAAATGGGTGGCCCGGAGTTTAAGCGGTCAGCAGCATTTCAGGCTGGCCGCCAAGTCGCTTCGCTGTTCCAGCCACCACACACAAAAGACGGGGGTCCAAGTATCGAAAACGCCGTGTCCTCGGGACGTTGTTGTATAGCGCCCCTGTCCGTCTGAACGACAGGCGCCACCTCGAAACTGCTAATGCATGCTCAGACACGGTTCACCCAACTGGCTGTCAGCTCCGTTGACCGCATCTCCTGACGGCGTGCCTTACCATCCCCCAAGATCCGCATGTGGCAATGTATCCTTTGGCGACCACTATGGCGTGCTCCTGTCACTTAGTTACTCTCTGCCCCGCTCCACCAACCGGCACCACTTCCCCGGCTTCGCATCAGCCACACGCGCTACTGCTACTATTGCCGCAGACGAGGCGTTATTCCGTCTCCAGCTAGGGCCGTGTTTTATTTAACATCCTTTATATTAACCTACATATGCACCTTGCATGCCTCAGCCGCAAGTGCCGAAGAAGAAAAAGGTGTCACGTTGCGACTGCGCCGCTAACGCCGCGCCTCCCTTTATTTCTCTTACTCTGCGAACCATGTAGAATATTGGCCTGGGGTTGCATCTCAAAGAGCTGAAGGGAGGCCGTTTCGTATAGCGTGTTGGTAGTCTACTATTGGTGCTTACACGCCAACTTCAATAAAAACAACTAAGCTGGCTGTGTCCCCCTCCATCGTGACAACCCATTTTTTTTTCATTTTCTATACGCCCACCCCCCTTGTAAACTCTCTTTTTTGCTATACGCTGAGCCCCCGGGGCGCCTAAAAGTTCTCGGTTAAAGCGTCACCAACGAGTACTACAACTCTGTGGTCCCCCATCCGAGTAGTAGAAGAAACAAAGCAAACAATCCAGGGAACGAGGAGAGGGAAAAGAAAAAGAAACAAAGAAGAAGAAGAATCATGGATGTCAAACCTACAGCGACAACGCGGTCGCGCCGCCGCAAGATGCTCTGCATCGTCCTCCCCCTCGTCATCGTCATTGTCCTCGCCCTCGCCCTCGGCTTAGGACTAGGCCTTGGCCTCAACAACGGCAACGACGACAACGACAATGACAACAACAACAATGGCGGCACGCCTCTCCCCTCCCCCAACAACACCATCACCTGGACCCCCTCCGTCGCTTCAACCTGGCAAATCATCCTCTCGCACCCACCCGACATCTCCTCCAACACCGCCCTAACCCCCAACGTAAGCATCTACGACATTGACCTCTTCGACACGCCTAAATCTACTATCGACGCGCTGCGCTCCCAGGGCATCCGCGTGCTATGCTACTTCAGCGCGGGGAGCTACGAGAACTGGCGTTCGGACGCCAAGGATTTCAAAGATGCGGATCTGGGTAAGCCGCTAGATGGGTGGCCCGGCGAAAAATGGATCGATCTCAAAAGCGAGAATGTGCGCAACATCATGAAGACGCGGGTGCAGTTGGCCAAAGACAAAGGATGTGACGGTGTAGACCCAGATAATGTGGATGGTTATGTGAGTTGTTACTTTCCCCCCCCCCCTCCCCCCTTCTAACCCTACACAACCTTAAAACACGACTATTTTTTTTCCTCTTTGCAGTAGTAGTCAAGAAAAAGAGTGGTTTGTGGGGCTAACACGAGAGCGCAAAAAGCAAAACGACAATGGCCTCGGCCTCACGTCCGCAGACTCGATATCCTTTATGCAATACCTCTCCAACATCACCGCCCCGCTCAACCTCGCCCTCGGCCTCAAAAACGCCGGCGACATCATCCCCACCGTCCTGCCCATTGTCCACTTCTCGGTCAACGAAGAATGCGTCAAGTACAGCGAATGCGCTAAATTCGCCCCCTTCATCGACGCAGGGAAACCTGTGTTTCACATCGAGTATCCGGATGGCGCGGGTGCCACGCAGGGATTACGCACAAACGTGGTGAGCGATTACTGTGCGAAGAGCGGCAAGGGGGCGGGTAGCGACAAGTTTAGCACCGTGCTCAAGAAGATGGAACTTGATGGCTGGGTCGAGTATTGCGATGGCTCTGTCAACGTTACCGATGTCAATGAGGCGGTTGGTGGCGGCCGGAACAATAATAGTAATTCGAGCTAAAAAAAAAGCGGACCTTGGGAGCTAAGAAACAGAGAGAGAGAGAGAGAGAGACGTAAAGTAATGAATGTTAATCTTTGTTGAACTGGGATGATGCCTTCACGCATATTTTCTTCTTCTTCGTATTTTCCGATGATTTTCGCCGTTTCGATGCCGATCTCACCAATGCATGTATGTGTATGGATGAATGTGTGTGTGTGTGTGTTTTTGTGTGGTTCGTATTCTTCTGCCGTCTTCTACTACTGCAACTACCCAACTAGTCTTTTCCGGTTGGGTGGTGTATCTACTTGCTATTTTTATCAACGTGCGGTACCAAACTTTGAACACTGGAGTAGCGTTGTATACACTAAAGCACATCTCCATTTGCCCCATCGTCATCATCATCATCATCATCTTCGGACTATATTCCACCTCGTTACCTTCCGCTTAGTAACCTCCCTTCCCCCCCTTGGCGGCCCTAGGAAAAAATACTTTCTTCTTCCATCGTAGCTTTTTGTTTGCTTTTTTCCCTCTCGACTCGCGCCTTTTCTTTGTAAGCATAAGCCTCGCACTCACACTCGCTTGACTCGGATGTAATTCTCCCGGGGGGAGGGTGGTCGGTGCCAAACAACTCTTTTGCTTCTTTATACACTTACATTATCAGTGTTACACAAAAATTGGATCACTGCTCACTGAGTCGCGTAGCGACAATGCTTTCGTATCATCATCACTATTCTCCACATCCCGAGAAAGCACTGTCTTGCTGCAACCGACATACACTTATTATCTTTTTTGCTTCTGTGCACTACACTACCAAGCCGCCTCTACCGACTCCCCATCCACCCACCCTTCAACATGTCGTTGCACCATCTCCCGCATGGCGTGCTTTTCTCTCTCTCGGCGCTTTCACCCGGGCCGTATGCGTATTCTCTTTCAGCTCGCTCTCTCTTTCTCTCAACTAGTGTATGCGACATACCAAGTCTAGTCTCTCCGAAGTTGCGTGTTTTGTGCATTTTCAAAGTCCCACGGCGTCGATGCTCTGCTGCTTTCTCCCCGAACCGGAGAGTCTAGCACGGTCTCGATGCCGGACCGCCGCGGTCTTGGGTGTTCATACGTACGTACAAAGTACAACAGTCCGGAAGTCAAGGCCGAGAATCGCGCCGCCGCTCTCGTCCGGCCGGCGCCTATGTACTGTATGTAGTACGTCGAATACGTGTCGGTGTCTAAGAAGAACCGAGGTAGAAAAAAATACCTATGCGATGTTTCACAGCAGCTGCGGATCGATGCGCACTATTCAAACACAGTCTCCACTGCTTGACTAGAGGATCGATTTACCCCCCTGGACTCTGCTGTAGGCTTGCGGCCGCGATCCGGGGAATCCATGCTCATCCGATATTCCTCTACAGATTTGTTATTACACAGTATACTCAGGAGCGAACAAGCGCCTGTGACATGGGTGGCATGTGCTGTGTGCCGATCATCCCACTGGTGGAATCGGCTACGGATCATGTAAGTATACATGCCATGCTGCAATTTTGAGGCAATGCATGTAAACAAACCGTAGCGAAGGTAAGGGTTCCCAAACGCCAAGGGATATCTGCCGACCGGTTGAATGTGGCTACAATATCCGGCCTAGCAACTTGTCTACTTACACCGGTCAGAAGCCTGGCGGTAGCTGCGGTCGGCACCCAAGACTATATGCGGATATTGGTCTTGACAGGTACATGGGATTTGTATCTGAGACAGCGCCACGCGGCCTCATATGGACATAATCCTCTATATTTAGGGGATGAACGGCAGTGTCCAAACCTTGGTTATAGAGAAGTAGACCCTCGTCCAATCGTTCAGCACATGCCTCACACCCATGCTCGCTTTTGGAAACGAGGTGAGGGGGTGATGGCTAGTGAGCAAGGGCTGCAACACTGGTGTGTCGAGAGCTTCCATTGTGCAAGGCGCCCAGGGTCAGTGCTGGCTCTTGGTAACGAGACGAGGCGCCATCGCATTCACAAGGCCTCACTCGTATTTTCCTGCAGGAAGCACGCCTTCTAGACCCAAGTGTCCATTCAGGAATCGAAACACCAAGTCTCGTTACCGATTTTTTTGCAGGCCAATGGGACCAGGCATACGGCGCTCCACTCAAAGCCTGCTTGAACACGACATACCACAGGGCGGCCGATCCACTGTTCCGGATGCCCCATACGAGCAGCTGTGGCTGACAGGGGTGGGTGCGGGGCAAAGATCGGGCCCCTGTTCGTCTTCTTCTCAACGCCTGAACCTGGGAGGCAAAACCTGCGATTTGCACTAAGCATATACAAAATTAGCACATATACATCATGGTGCAATGGTAGTGGTGTGAAGAAGAGGAGGATCGGCAGCCCTTAGCGAGCGGCTTGCAATGGCTCCCGTCATTCAAGGTGAGTGTGTCTATAGAGGGCGTCATCTAAATGTAACTTCGGCTTCATGTTGCAAAAGAGCTAGCCAATATTGACAAGGGGAGCGCTCCCCCGTTGTGCCGAGTACTTAGCTTGCCCGCTTAGGTGAACGGGCACTACGACTAGCCTTCGGGAAGCTGTCGTTCCCACGCACAACGCATCGCCTACACGCCCTCACCCAATGGTCTCGTCCAGTGTAGACGTCATACGTAAGCCGGATGCTCGCTTGCGTTGTCAACTGCTCGAGACTAGGACCTAAGCCAAGATTGGTGCAAGAAGCTATTGAAATCCTTCAGAAACAAAAAAATTGGTAGCCTGGTACTCAGCTCGGCATCAAATCGGTAGTTTGGACACCCATATGCTGGCATCAGCCAAGCAACGCTACGCAGAGCCGCCGGCATTCAAGCTTCCGGGAAAACGCGAGGAAGCTACGGTATTCTGCCGGGGAAGGGCATGGGGTGTGAACTGTACTGAACTTCCGGTAGCGAACCCTTGTGTGGAAAAATTCATAGATGCGAACCGATATAGAACGAGGCTGTAAAATTTCCGCACGGAGATGAGATCAAAGTTGGAATAGAGTGTTGGCGCATATTTAGCGCGTAAGCTAAGGGTTAACAATCTGGCTAAGAACAGCAAGTGGCCTGGGATTAGCTGACTGTAAAATCTGCCGCCCATGGCCACTGAAGCACATCCAATGTTAGTGTGACACTGGGGCTGCTTGACCCCCGTGGGTCATAGTAGCTTATGAGTGTGCTGCGTGAAAATCTTTACTGGTTTGGAGTCAGCTTCCCGACTGACTAGTTAGAGTCGTCTTTGGAAGTAATCACCCGGCGGCCGAGCGGTCCGTCTGGTGTGATGCAATACCTGCCTAGATGGCGAGCAGATACTCTGGCAACTCCTTGATGTGCATCAGCTCGTTAGTGGGGTACGACGACAAAGTAATCGCGATTGGCCAAGGGGTTTCTTATTTCCACCACAGCTCAAAATGTGAAGACCAAGACCTTAGCCGCCGGCCGACGCACCTAAATTGATCCTGCGGACCGAGGTTTCACTTACACGTGGTGTGCTCGAGGCGACAAGGAAATGTAGCCTTGCTGCAAAGGCTCTGGCTTCCCATGTGTGTGCCTCTTGGCTGCTCCTGCAAGGCTGTCCAGATCCTAACATCCGTCCCCTGCTCAGCTCAAACAGGCACTAAGGCAATCGATGGACACGGGCAAAATGCCGTCAGACTGTATGTAATCGGAGCTAACCGTGAGTCATTTCCTGCGAACAAGACGCAGAACTAGTCCAACAGCGAATTTCCCTACAATGGTAGTGACGGGGAGCTCCGAATCGCATAAATGGGCATCGCTCTGGCTGTGGCAATCGTACTGAACTTTTTTTTGTCTCCGGGTTTTGTCCTCTGAGAACCGCCGTCAGGAAGCGCCTTCGGACAAAGGCGTGACTCCGGACTGCTTGGAAAGGATCCATCGAGACGTCTAGACTGTGATGGAATGGCCGGATCATGGACTGAAGTAGCATATCAGCCTCGCGCTTATGCAACTGCTGGGAAGCAGGCGAACTGCAAGCTGCGTTGTGTAACCCGACCTCGATTGATGAACGAAATTGGTTCTTTGACTAGAAGAGAGTACGAGGGTGCTCGAACAAGGCCTAATTCAGCGACGCTCGGCGTGGCAACACGCATGCTGCAGAGCCAGCTTGCTAGAACGGCTCTCCTTTAGCCCGGCGCCGTCTCTCATGGCCTGAGACATGGTTTCTAAATGCGCTGTGCAATCATATGATTGTTGCGTGGGAGGTCCTATTGTCAGATATCCCGCCCAATACTAGTGACAAGTCACACTCGGCCCCGAATTAGAACGAAGTGATGTCATCCGATGCCGAGCTCAACAATCTGGTGCATGACTTTGTTACGGCGTAAGCGATGGTGCACATGTTTTTTTTGAGGAGAGTGAGCGTTTCCAGGGCTGTAAAATACTCTGCATTGTGTAATGCATCTTCTCTGGGCCCATAATGCAGGCTTCCGATTGCGGTAAACTGTGCTTGAGTGTCAGAAGTTCCCTAAACAGGTTAGATGGGCGGCTACCAGGAGAATGGGAAGGGTTCAAACATGATGTTGAAAGGATTCCTTGCCCCCCTGCTAGGGGGGGGGGTAGGCGTAGATGGGAACAATGACCGAGCTAGGCCCATCCATGGCATTAGCTTAGGCACGGCTTACTACCAGCCAATTGCAAAGGATCGGTCCTAGCCTCAACAAACCAATCTGGTCCTGTATTTCAAAAGTAGCAACAAAAAAGTATTCATCAGCGTGGCTGGGTGGTGAGCATCCCCACTGCCCTGCAGGGCGCTTCAGGGGTGGAGTCGATGGCGAATCCAGCATCAGCCGCCTGAATGGAAACACTTGGAACTGCGTCCATCGAACTCTTTCGAGCCCAGATGAAGGCAATTTCAGACTCTAGAAGCTGTGGTAGTGTAACCCACATGGGCACGGCTGGGTATTGCGCATCCGGCGATGCAAATTGGACAGGGATCTTTAGCGATGCAAGAGTATATTCGAAAGAGCTGGACCTGGGGAGACTCCGGCACTCATGAATCGGGATCAAGCGGCCTGGTCGTGCCAAGTAAAGTAGACAATATTGATGGCGCAAAAAAGTCTGGCTTTGACGTGTTCTGCCTAATTCAATGTAAGCTGAGTACCGTTAACACTGAGGTAGCGTATATAAAGATTTTAAGGTTGGCATACCAAGAAGCAGATCAGTAACACGGCAATCCACTCGCTCCTCTTCGCTCCCATTCACTCATTCAACACGCAAAGCGCGTTGCCCGCCATGTCTGCATGCTCCTCACAGTTCTCGGTGTCGCCATCCGCGACACCAGAGATGGTCAGCACACCAGCGACACAAAGCTCTGTGCTCTTCGACGACGATGTGGCAGCCGATCCTCTGGACATTGAGGGCGTCAGCTCTTCCTTCATCATGGTCGTTGGCGGATTGGGTTACATTGGCTCCCACACAACACTGGAGCTGCTCAAGGAAGGATACAACGTCCTTGTGATTGACGACCTCAGCAACTCTTACCAAAATGTCCTGACCAGAGTCAAATTCCTTGCCGAGGAATTCTGCAAGGAACAAGGACGACGAATGCCTGCACTGCACTTCCAGCAATTGGATTATCGAAGCCCGCAGATGAAGACGGTACTGGCCAATTACTCTTCGTATTCCGTCAGCAGCAAACCAGTATCAGCACTGGCCCATCGCTTCCCGTATACGAACCTGCAGCGGACAGATTCCGGCATTGACATGGAGACGGATGATCGCCAGGAGCCGGTGATCGAGCGTCGATCCCGGATAACGGGTGTTATCCACTTTGCCGCCTACAAATCTGTCGAAGAAAGTATCCGCACGCCACTGAGGTATTACAGCAACAACGTTTGCGGTCTTGTTGATTTCCTGGGCTTGATCGAGGAATTTGGCATCAAGAACTTTGTCTTCTCGTCCTCGGCTACAGTTTACGGTGAGGGTGCCAATTGCGGTGTGCCTCTACGCGAGGAGCTATGCGTACACCACCCAGAGACTTTTGTCGACGGTGAGGGACGCGAGCGTCAGGTGCTACCGGGTGTCTTGGGTCTCACTTCGCCTTACGGACGTTCAAAATTCATGTGCGAGTCCATCCTTGCAGATCTTGCTGTGGCGGACCCGACATGGTCCATCACTGCTCTGAGATACTTCAACCCAGTAAGCCCACATTCGAGTGAATTTCCAAACGAGAAAATGCTAACGGAACCAGGTGGGCTGCCATGAATCCGGAATACTGGGTGAAGATCCACGACAGAAACCTAGCAATCTCATCCCAGTCATCGCTACAGTAATGACAGGAGCTAGGCCGGTGCTGGATATTTTCGGCACTGACTGGAACACTCCCGATGGAACCGCTGTGCGTGACTTTATCCATGTAGTCGACTTGGCCCGAGGACATATCGCGGCTTTGGCTGCTTCCGCAGCTGGTCGCACGAAGGCTCCATTCCGAACCTACAACTTGGGTAAGTTGCATTTTTCGTCTACAACCCGCTCCTCTAGATCTAGTTGCTAACTCTTTCTAGGTACTGGCAACGGACACACGGTTCGTGAGGTGCTTCACAGCCTGGAGGAGGTGTCTCAACGGAAGATCCCAGCCCGAGAAGTCGGACGAAGGGCGGGAGATGTTGGTTTTTGTGTGGCTGAAGTGCAGCGAGCAGAGACGGAGCTGCAGTGGAAGGCTGAGAGGAGTCTCAGGGATTGCGCTGGAGATGTGTGGAACTTCACCAAGGGCCGGTGTCCCGATGTGCAAGAAGTTGGTAATGCGCAGTGCTAGTGGACATGCAGTCCATGCTTGAGAGCTTTGGTATTGGCTTTGGCTAGATTTCGGGACGCTTTTTTTCGTTCTCCTTTCTTCTTTGTTGATGGAAAAGTCTTAGCATTAGTAGCGGGCGTTTTTCTTTCTTTCTTTCCCTTCGCAAACGAGGCGTTTGTTAGCTTTGTACAGATTCGAATACAACTGACGTAAAGTTTATATTTGAAGGCGGATCATATGGCCTCTCCGCACTCAATGACTGCCTGTCGTGTACTGTATGTGTAACGACGCCACGCCTTTGTGTAGCACTGCCAAGGGCTGTTGGGAGATTTGAATGGGTCACCTAGCAGGTGCTGTGGCGATTGAAGAAGGGGTTATGGAGGGGATGAGAGGAAAAAGCAAGGGCTGGCAGGCAACGAGGGCGGTTTTGCAGTGGCTTTGGCGCACTGCACGTCGCCACGCGAGCAAAAACAATGAGGATTAGTTTCGGCTGCATGAAACCTAGTGAGCTCAGGTGTGACATGAGCATGTACAGCTACCATGCGCATACACGGCCAGTTCTCGCCATGCAGCGAGTTGTATTGCGGCAGACGTTGCCAATGTGTCGTTTTCGCGAGGAGCTAGCAAGGTAGCAAGATAGCAAGATAGCGAGATAGCAATAGCACGGTGGGCGAGATAAGGGCGATGCAGCAATGGGCTGTTTGTGAGGTGGATGCGAGGATGAAGATGTTACTCGCCAGTGTATATATGTACAGGCATGCAAGCATGCGTAACGGCGAGGAGCCAAGAGCTGGTGGTTGCAGGCACCGTGAGTGTGATCTGCAATCGGAGCCAATGGCACGGCTCGATCGAGCGGCCAGTGCGCGACTCAGCTGGGGGCGGTACATAGGCTCGCCGCCCCCCTTTGCGCCCACGCGTGCGAACGAGCGTCGTCGTGGTCGTCGTGTCCGTCGTGGTGTTGAGCGCAACCACGGCGTTGCTGGGTGCCCCCCGTCACGCCTCGGTCAGAGAGCAGAAGGGGGGCTCCAATGGCGAGGGCAGTGATGGGCAGCAGACGAACAGCTCCTCCGTATGGCCGGGCGCGGGTGCGGGTGGCCGACTGGGCTGGCAGCGGTTCGGGAGTTGATGGCGCGGGCTCGCAGTGGGTGCGGCTGCTCGGCGCTAACCCGCAACGGCCGTCACGTGCGGGCCCGTCAACAGTCAAGTCGGTGCTAGCAGCCCGCACCCATTGAACCTCAAACGTCTCTCCATACGCACAGTCGCGCATTCCTGCTGCTGCTGTGTTGCCCACTCGGACCGTTGCTGCTTCGTTGCGACGACACCATAGACCAGAGAGACAAGACCCGCGCGCACAAATCCGCGCCCATGCCTCCTTCCGCCATGCCCATGTCCACCCACGCGACGGCCGGCCAGTCGTCCTTCTCTGCGGGCGTCAATGACACCATCTGGGCCAACCACCAGCCCTTCTCCCCGCCCGACTCTGCCGCCTCTCTCTCGCCCTCACTAGGACTCCATCTGTCGCCTACGACTAGCATTGCTACCCACTCCACCAGTGTAGGGACCACCACTCCACCTGCCCAGACGCCTCAGTCGTCCGATGGCAGCAGGGCCGGCTCCAATGCCGGCCTCAAGAGCAGCCAAAAGGCGTCATCCGGGGATCAAACGAGAGCCTCGGTCGCCGTCGCTTGCGTCCAGTGTCGAAGCAGGCATTTGAAATGCGACGGCGGAGCCCAGTGCTCCCGATGTAGGACCGATAACGTCGAATGCACCTACATCAAGTCACGACGAGGTTGGAAGGGGAAGCGCAAGAACAAGGACGACAATGCTGCGCCTGCCGCCCCTCCCGTCGCCCATGGTGAGTGCCCTGTTCTTTTGCGGCCGCCACATGGTGTTTGTTCCTAACTCGACTAGCATTGTCTGCTGCTGAGGTTGCCGCCAGCAATGGTCACATGTCCTCGCCTGACTACTCGTACAATGGCGACGTGAACCAGCTCAGCCCGTTGCATGGTCTCGGGGTTCGGACAGTTGCCCCGCCAGCTGCTCAGCTTAACCTCAACGGCACTGCCCGCTTGAACCGCTTCGGTCACCATGGGCCCGAGACTGCCGTCCAGGCATTCTACCATTTCTTCTACAACTCACATCCCTTTTGCTTACCCGAGCCAAGGCTACTCGACATCTTCAAGGAGCGCCGGGCCCCTCTTTTAGAATATGCCGTCCAGTTCATTGGTTCAAGCTTCCTGCCTGCTGTTCCTACTGCCATGTATCAGGAGGCACTAGATCGCCAGATCAACACTGGCAACTACTCGAGAGACGGGTGGTCGGTGCAAGCAATGCTGCTTTTTGCCATTGGTCTCCATGCGCACAACCAGGTCCCCCGGGCCGCACAGGTCTTTACCATGGCCCAGGACCTGACGCTTGAAATCCGTCTCCACCGTATCGAGTTTGCTTTGATGAATGGCGAGAACGACGCACAGCTTGAGGAGAGTTGGCGGAGGACGTGGTGGTCCATGTACACAGCAAACGGCATGATGACAGCCGTCAACCCGGGCGTGCAGTTCAGGCTAAAGGATGTACAAACAGACGTCCCGCTTCCTTGCGAGAACATTCAGTACTTCTCAGGCGTAAGTCAAGACCCCTGCACTCCGATCTGACCCTTTTTTTCTTGGCGATGCTTCCCGGCTTGGTCATGGGCTACTGCGCTGCTCACTCTTACTGTACATGACCCGCAGCCACCATTCCGCTTTGGACTGCTCTCGTGCATATCAGAAAGACAAAACGTTACTGACGATGCTCCTAGCAAATACCCTTCCCGTCGACTCTACAAGACTATGACGACTCGGCCTTCCTGCCGTCGTTGGTCACCTTCAGTTCCTTCACCTACCTCATCGACGCCATACGCATCCTAGGCAAAGTCTTTGAATGTGCACGTCTCGACTCGACGTTTGAATACCACGCCGTCGATGTTGTCGACCAGTTCCTGTGCAACTGGCGGCTGCACCTCCCCCAGTCGAAAATGGACATTGTGAACAACGACGGCCACATCGACGAGGTGCTCTTCCAAGCACACATGGTCAATGCAGGCAGCACAATCATGCTGCACCGGCCCCGAAGCAACCTGGGATTCGGCAGAGTCGAAGGCGTCAACATTTGCGTGCAACCAGGCCAAGTCCTGTTACCGACGCAGACGCGCGAAATCCACACAGCAAAGTGTCTCACATCCGCCGAAAACATTTCTTCTCTCATCCGTCTCCCCGGTAACTTACTCTACCACACGCCCTTCTTCACCTGCGTCGTCGTCATGGCATCAGTCGTGCATCTCTCCTACTGGTCCTTCCTCGTGCCCGACGGCCAAGACGACATCATCAAGCAATCCATCCGTCTGGACGTCGGCACCCTGCAACAATACTCCAACACATGGCCCATTGCCAGCGTAGTCCTCGGCCAAGTCAGAGGCGTAGCACATACCCTGTTCAACAGCAAGAAAGCCATGGGTATCCATTTGTGGAGCAATATCGACCAGAACGATATCATTCGTAATGTCATTGAGGAGGGAAGCCACGTGCCACAGCAGCAGTATGCGCAGTTGATTGCTCCGTAAGTTTCTCTTGTTGGTGCCTGGAAGTCAATGTCCCACTAACCTTTCACCTACAGCATGTTGAAGTCATAAACGCGTCCTCGCACCGTCCCCTTGAATGTCTTCATGACCTCTTGTTTATCCCATCGCAATGCGTTCGCTCAAACGCACGCATTTCTTCAACGCAAGCGCACATCATCATTATCAAATGTCATCATCAATGTTATTTTTTTCTTTCCTCATCTTTTCTATCCAGTCTCAAACCGGGACCCTTTTTTTCCTCTCTAGGGTCAAGTTTATTTTGGGATTTTTTTTCTTTTTTTTCTTTCTACAGTTTTGCATAACGAATTAACTAAATGTTTCATATACCAATGTTTTTTTATCTTTCTTTCCCTTTCCCCTTTTTTCACCCTTTTTTTCCCGCGTGTTAGGCTGGCGCGGGATTTGGAAGGTTTCGGACTTTTGTAAGTTCGATGGGATTTTTATTTATTTATTTTTGTCCAGGAGTAGGTTTGGCTGGGTTGGGGTAGGATTAATGGGCAACGCACACATGTAAGAAGGAAGGATTATTTACCAAACAAGGTAAAGAAATGATCGGAATATGTAGGAAATAGAGTTTTCATATATATAAAAGAAGCAAGACAAATGCAATATTTTGGACAACCTGATATGTGCAATCAATAGTGAATAGTTGTTCATAAGAAGAAGAGAAAAAAAAAGTCAAGTACGGGCAGGTAGAGCGAGAGAGTAGGAAGCAGACTGCGTAGCCTCACTGTGTTTAGACGCGAGTTTTCTTTTTCTTTCCTTGCTTGCTTATTTTTGTTTCGTATACGTCCAAGTGGCCATTTCAGGAAAAATATCAGCAGTGCTTTCTTTGTTGTCCTTACCCTATTTTTTTCTTTTTGGAAAAAAAGCAACGGTAAGAGTCTAGCCTGAATGCTTTACTCTTGCGTCAACAGCCAGGGTTCATGCTGCCAGCCAATACTAGTTTTTCTTTTCTCTTACTTTCGAAACGCCTTGAGGAAAGTTAAAAAAAAAGAGAATGCCTAGCAAAACTTGATCATGGTCTCATTCAATGTCAACATGCGCATTTCAACATGCAAATGGTCTAGAGTTTACTTATTCGTCGAAACGCCGGCTAATCCAGCGCCTCATGTGATCATATTCTGCAGAATCCTCGTCCCAAATCCTCCGTCTTCACTAACAATGTTGGAAGCTCCTGGCGCTGCAAATGGTGCAGCTCCAATTCTCATATTCCCATTCGATTCGTGTACCCATTACACTCCTGGCCGTAGCCAGGAGCAAGCTCATGCCCATATCTACAAGTCGGCATCATCCTCATCGGGCAGAGGCATCTGAGCGGCGTTCTCCATCTCCTGTCGGTACTGCTCGAGAACAGCCTGGTCGACGGTAACCTCGGGGGGCGCAAGAGCGGGAGCGGCGACAAAGTCCAGAGACTGGTTGCCGACCAGTTTCCTGGCGAGCCAGAGGAAAGGCTTCTCGAAGTTGTAGTTGGACTTGGCCGAGATGTCGTAGTACTGGAGGTTCTTCTTTCGGTGGAAGGTGATGGACTTTGCCTTGACCTTGCGCTCCTTGACGTCGACCTTGTTGCCGGTGAGGACAATTGGAATGTTCTCGCAGACACGGACCAAGTCACCTGACGGAGTGTTAGTTATCGTGTTTAGTACAGTGGATTAGTTGCAAAACATACGGTGCCAGTTGGGGACGTTCTTGTATGTGATACGCGAGGTCACATCAAACATGATGATACCGCATTGGCCGTTGATGTAGTATCCGTCACGGAGACCACCAAACTTCTCCTGGCCTGCAGTGTCCCAGACATCGAACTGGATGGGGCCAAGGTTCTGTTTTTTTGCGTCGTCAGTAGGGCGCGTGGCGCGGATATGGCATCGGATAACGTACGGTGGTGAAAGCGAGTGGGTGGACTTCGACACCGAGCGTCGCAATGTACTTCTTCTCGAACTCTCCGGTCAAATGGCGCTTGACGAAGGTAGTCTAGGGGCAGGGCTGTCAGTAAACGTGCCATGGCTGGGTCGTATGCAAGCCTTGTCGACTGCGCATCCACCTCAATGGGGGGGCTGCTATCGCAACGGGATGCAAAATGGGACGACATACCTTTCCAGTACCACCGTCACCGACAAGCACGAGCTTGAAGGTCGGGCAGCTGGGTTGGGCGGCAGTCTCGGCCATGGTGTAGTTTGTTGTGGCGGGGGAGAAGGGTGGACGAGACGAGATGCGCAGAGACTGTGGGAGCAAAAAGTGTTAGTTGGAGTCGCACGAGGTCGATGAGCAAAAAGCAGGTCGTGGTGCAGGCTTACGTTGGGCTAAAGAGTGGGGAATGGTGCAGGCGTGTGAAGTGACTTTCCAGAGGGGCAAGAAGAGGTTTTGTTGTGCAAGCTCAAGTGTTGGCCCGCCCCGGGCGGTGTGGATCTCTTGGCACGCCCTCACCTTCTGCAATTTTCGACCTCGCAGGCACAAGGCAGCCCTCTAGGCCGCCGCAGGCTCCCTTTGTCTTTGAAATCAAACGCCCTGGCGAACTGTTGGCCATGCAGCCGGAGCCTCTTTGATTGATTTATTGATTCATGGGCTGATTTGCTTGGCCTGGGCCCAAGGGCAGAAAACACCGGCTATGTTGCTGTTGCAATGCAAATGCTTGTTGGCCCAAACCCAGTGCGCCACGCAGCAAGCGCTGGCGTGCCGTTGCGACTACACAGTATATGCCACTCACCCTCCTCCAGCCACCGTCCGCTGCGACCGGCAAACCATGCCCGGCCACCCAACCCACGACGGGCCCCGGGACGCTCATGCTCGTGGACGTGATGGATGCGCTGTGTGCCCTGCGCCTGATAGATGTATCTGCTCTGCTGTCCCTGTTGTGTCTGCTGTAGAGCCCAAATGCCCCTGACGTCATTCCCAGCCATCCTCTCGCCTCTCGCCTCTCGCCTTACATGGGCAGCAAGTGGCAGCCCAGTAGCCCTCGCCCGCCCCAATTCCTTCGCGGGGTGAGTTGCATTTGCACACTCTCTGCGGGGCCGCCCGAGACATTTGGTCGCAACGCCTTCACGGTAATGGGCACCTGCAACACGTCAGTCCTGCGCCCACGACAATCGGTAGCATGCCAAGTACCCCTTCGTTCTGCGAAACCACCTCTGCCACCCGCGATAGTCTCTCGTGGTTTGTCCAGTCGATCCAGCCAAACTTGGTTATGGTGTCGCCCACCCGTAGTCCTGCTGTCTCGGCCGGACTGCCCGCCACCACGCTATTGACCTTTGCGAAGGGTGCCTCGAGAGTCGCAGGCGGTGCGTTGACTTCTGGTTGCGTCTGCCTCGCCGCTGCCGGGTTGTTTGCCTGCTCTGCCAGGCGCGCGTGGTGTTCGTGGAGGCCCTTTTCGATGCGCGACATGAGGTCCTTGTAGTCGTTCTTCAGCCATATGATGCGCGCCCGCGTCGTCCGTACTGGAGGCAGGTCAGCGACGAAACTACCTTTTAGCATAACGCGCGTAGCCTACTCTGAGCGACATCAATGTCACTACGCGGGAAGCCATCGAGCGTCGTTAGGCCGGTACTCATGCGAACGCCATGCTGCAAGCAACGATCAGATGATGACTAGGCGGCGACATGCTTCTCGTGCGTACCGAATCCAGCACCTGCCCTAGAGCCTTGAGTTCTGCTTCGACGCGGTCCTTTTCTGCGATGAGCTCTTGCAGCGACAACTGCTCCTTGGGTATTCCGTTAGAATGGCCCGACGAGGTTGGTCCCGACGACACCGTGGGCGCATGAATGTCGTCCATGATGGCTGGCTGCTGGCTGCGAGCTGGGGCGCTTTGGTGCTAGAAATTCGCCTGGCGCCCTCTGCCACTAATTGTTCTGCTACTAGTCGGCACGTAGAGTAGTACTTGCAGAGAAAGTGGGGGGGGGGAGTGGAGGGGAGCTCAGGGTGCGGGGCAGCGGCAGCCACAGCCACGGACTCCATGTCCGCCTTCACCATGGCGCCTCTCCCACTCTCCCACCCTCACGCAATCCGTGGTCCAGCCTGCAAAGCCGCGTCACGTGCACATCATCTGCACCCACTGCACCCACTGCGCCTGGCTTGCAACATGCTACTACGTGAGACAGCACCGCGCGCACAGAGGCAGCAACACCACCCGGGGCCACGGCAGCCCGCAGTGGAAGGAGTGCCAGCAGATCAGCGTGCCACTCGTGCTCGTCGCCCATGGCTCCTACCGTCATGATGCTTTTGCAACTCCTCCCACACAGGCGAAAAGCAACGAGGCCGGCCCGCTAGTCGCATCTCGAAACGTGGTCCACTACGCGTCCCCCGGCTGTGTCTGTCCATGGCTCCCGCCTGCCTGCCTTTCCAACTCGCCATACCTGCTCATGAGATCGCCGCCTGCTCATAAGACCCTCGCCTGCTTCGGCCTCACCCATGTGCACCTACCTTCCCAGCCTGCCTCTTCGCGTTTCCCATACAGTGGCTGTTTCCAGCATGCTCGGGCCAGCTGTCTGGCCTCTCTGCTCCTCACTTGTCTCTCCCCAGGCCACCGTCGTTGGATGCAGTAGTTCTTATCTCATGCTGCTTCAACCCTCCATGCGCCCCTTGTCACAGTGCCAACCACTACAACGCTGTTGAGATGGCCTATGTGCTATCGCTCCGTCCTCAGAGCCCCCTCAAGCGTTCCTTTAGCGATAACCCATATCCAAATTCCTGCTCGCCTTTTGACGACAATCTCCATGCACCACTGACCCATGCCACGCTTCGCAACGGCTCCGCCCGTTCTTTCTACTCCCTGAGAGACAATCGAGCCGTTGATCGAGCCCATGCCGATGAGAACACGCCACCCCTGACCTCCCAGTCACTGCTCGACCTAGCTTCTGAGAAGAAGATTTTCCCAGTCACCACTGCACGTGTTGTCGATGAGCCACGGAAGCGAAACTGCGGCCACGATCGACCCCCACCATCCTTCTGCCAGCCAGAACTACTGTCTCCCTCAGACAGGGAGGATTGCTACAAATGGCAGCATGTATCAGAGTCCTGTTCCGAGTATGAAACCGCAGATGGAGAAGGTATGGACCTGGATGAGGACAGTCCCGATGAGAACGATACACATGCGAACAACTTTGCCGAGACACATCTGTTCAACTTGTACGAAGCCATTCACGTGCCACTACCCACTGATCAACCTCCCGACGACACTGGAAGCGAAACGCACGAGCAGTATTGTGCAGCGCCAACCATCACCCAGGCTTCTTCGCAGCCATTCAGGCGGTGGATGAGCACCCTAAAGCGCCGGCATGCCCAGCGGTGGAAAGAGGAGATTATCGACCTACCGCGCTTGTCCATTGATACGGTCAATACCATGTCGGTTGTTTCCCAGCCGCTTGGGCGCATCCCCGAGTCTTCACGGCGGGGAAACGGCTCTTTGACCTCTTCAATGGAATACGTAACCGCGATGAAGTCTACTTCGATAACAGTTGGAAGTACAAGTATCGCTCCTCGCTCTGACGCTGGCCTGCCGAGCAGGGTTCGTTTGGCCAACAGAAGCAGCAACCTCTCTGAAGCTCGCCGATCACTCGACAGTCACCGTGGCGCGCTAGGACCTGTGCTGGATGAGAGCGCCTGGCTTCGAGCGCTGCAACGCCGTAAAGTTGTCGAGGAGCTGATTGCTTCGGAAGAGAGCTACATTGCAGATCTCAAAGTTCTAATCAACGTGTGTAGTCCTCCAATTGACATGACTCGAGCTACCCGCTAACCTATTCAGGACTACTTTATGATTCTCACTGCCCTCCCTACTCTACCAGGACACACCAAATCATCTATACAGCAAAACCTATTTCAGATTCTACAGCTTCACGAGGATCTGCTTGCAGAGCTTCATCAGGTCATCCCCCATGCCGACTTCACAAAGAGTGCGAACCAGGAAGCACTCCCTGCAACAAAAGCCAAGCACATTTGCTTCAACAGTGCGGACGTCACTCCAGGTCGCCTTGCCGAACACAGAGTCACCCGACGGCTCAGACACTCCTTAGAGATAGGAAGATCTCCGGAATGCAGATCACGTGGACTGGCAACGGATACTGAAACGGCTGGGAATATCGCCAAGATCTTTAATAAACATGTTCGCTCTTCATCCCAAAACTGAAAAGGCCAAGCTGACAAGGTTTAGATGAGACGATTCTTCACCTATGAAGAGTATGGCGCACACTGGACGACCATGTCTCAAGACCTGACTTCCATATGCAAGGGCCTGCATGGCTGGCAAGAGTACGAAAGAGGCGTCGAGGCTTTGCAAAAGGTGATTGCTTCACAGAATAATCGCGAAGCTGGCAGCAAAAAGGCGCTGAGCTTCTCGGACCTCCTAATCAAGCCTATCCAGAGGGTCTGCAAATATCCACTTCTCTTCGACGATTTGTGTCGCCATACTCCCGTTTACGACGATCCGGAGGCGCACGCTGAACTTGAGAAGGCTCTCTTTCGTCTACAAGAAACGATTCGCGAAGTGAACAAAGCCAAAGATGATCCCCAAACTCGAAAACTTATTGAAATCACCTGGCAGCTGCAAGATCGGCTCGCGTTCCAAGAACACAAGATCTCTAGAGCCCTCGTCTTTCGCATGCTCGGCCATGTGCTGCTTTGTGGTGTCCTGCATGTGGCATACCAGACGCCCGATCGCATCAAAGGATCATATATGGTGTGCGTACTGTATAGGTCGTGTCTGGTGCTTGCAACAGCAAGCAGATTTCATACTCCTTACACCGTTGTCGCCTCGATTGCTCTTGCCAATGCAAGCATCGAAGACGCCGACAATGGTCGTGGGATACAATGTCATACCGCACCACATACATGGAAATTCGTATTCGAGCATGGCCATCGTCTACACGAAATGATCTTGACTGCGTGTTCTTCTGTAGAAGAGGAAGCATGGAAAAATCAGCTTCGTGAGCGCATTGTTTACGAGACGCACGACTTTGTCGAAGGCCAATCCACCATGCAAGACATGTTTACATCAATAACCCTTGACCTTAAATCCCTTGGTCCTGTTTTTGGTCATGCGAACAGCTTGGTGCGACGCATGTCGGTTCATCGAGCGGCGACCTTGGGTGCAAAGACAAATACGAACCAAGTCATCATCAAGAATACCCAGGCTCAGAAATTTCCCGATTCCTCCCCACCGCTGTCCCCTGGTATGGTTGCGAGATCACAATCGCATCTATCCCCAAATCACATTCCCACACTAGTACCGAGACGAGCCGAGCGCATTCGCCTTGAGCACGTCTTGGAAGATGTATGGACAAAAGACGCTTTGCCATTCCCAGGCATGTCCAGTAGGCGAATGGAGAACCAAATCAGAGCATCGGCCAACTCAGTCATGCGGAAACTGAGCATGGCAAGCATTGCCAGTAACTTCTCGCGTCGCTCACCCAGTCTTTCGAACACAAGCAATTCAAAATCGGATGATTCGTCGAAAGGCCGAGTTTGTAAGGCGCCTCATGGAACCGTACGGTCTCATTCAGCAGCTGAGCGACGACCAGTACCAGCTGTTGTAGACTTCCACAGCGCCCCAGCCGCATTCTTACCAATCGACTTTGAAGTGGAAGATCCGCGGCCTTCTAGCAGACATCGACGCCTTGCAAACTGTACGGCAGACACAGAAATACCGGTTGAGAAGTCTTTACAGGCCAAGCCAAAGAAAGTCCGACGTCTTTCCAGTCACATGATTGGCATACCACGCTCGGAATCTGCGAGACGCGCGATACAGAGAACTCCTTCTCACGAATCAGCAGCAAAAGCATTGCGCGCAGCACCTCCGCGCGTAGATGCTGAAACGGGCACGGAGAACAAGAAGATGAAGGTGGGACGGATGAAGGGACGCGAAACCAAGTCAGGCTCACCATGCGCCACTCCTTCGAGGAAATTCTTGAAAAGCAAGAACAGAATATTTAATCTTTTCCGATGACTTTAGATGCGTGCGGGTGTGGATGATCGAGTTGGATCATGAGGCTTGCAGGTAATGACGGTTGAGGAGGTGCAAAGTGAACAAACTTCTATGATGGAGCTATCACGACCTAACGATACACTACATCCTTGCGGTAACAGCAAGATAAGATATGGACATTACGACCGACACGATAGACAAGGCGATACGCACGACATGATGGCGATCAATTGATATTAATGCAAGGCACCCGCAGGAACCTGAGAATCGGTGGAGATGGCATGACGTCATTGGCTGTGGGCTGTGGGGTTGAGCTGACACGCGATCGTGTGATGGAGGGATCCATTGCAAAAAGACACGTATATTTGGATAGCAACAACAAGGCTAGAACCAACAACGTCATCTCTAGACATGAAACGTGGCATGATATTTCCCCCCTTCTTGATGCATCTGTGTGAGATTTGGTTTGGTGAGAGGGGAAAATGTCACATGGTCGTGTTTGTTGCGGCCGAATGTCAACAATGAGACCGCAAGCCAGCCAAAGACCCGCCCGTCAGCCTCAAGTTCCGGCATGAGCCGCAAGGCTAATCACGTACACGGTGTGAAGGCTTGCGTATCCCCATATTTTGACTTTAGCATGCCATGCTTCGAGAACGTAGGCCCAAGCTTGGCAATGACGTAGTGTCTCCGGTCATAGCTCACGAGCTTGCTAAATAGCCCCTCCAAAGCTTCCCCTCCATCCACCACCACATTCTCACAGAACACACATACTCAAATCTAGCATTCAAGCTATCTCTCTGCTTCATTCAATAGCTCTTCTAAACCGATCAAACCCGACACATCAGCAACAATGGCTCGCGGAAACTCTCCTCACTCTCAAGTCTTCTACAAGGGCAGCACCGGCGATCAGTTCACCGTCTTCGTCGAGAGCGAGGAGCAGCTTAGGAAGTGGAAGGCAGACAGCAGTATCCCCATGACAGAGGTTGTCGCTGGCTGGAAGATTTTGGTCCCTGAGTAGGTTCTTCCTTGTGTTCTTGGGCTCCGCTCAAAGTGAAGCTCGAAAGTTGTTTGTTCGTCGCTGAATAGGACCACCGACTGCATGGGGAGCTTCAGTGAGCGATAATGCACAGAAATGAAAAGAATCATGAAAGAATCAACTAATGATTTATGAATAGACACGGCAAGCAAGGCATTCTCAACACCGCTAGCAAGGGCCAGCTTGAGAACGAGTTCGGCACTAGCAACGAAGATGAGGTCATGAAGAAGATCCTCACCGACGGCGCTGTCCAATCTTCCGAGGTCAGTAGTTCCTTCCTCTCTCTTCATACTCTCTGATCACTGACACGAATGGTACACAGAACCCGGAACGCATCGGCATCACCAACGAGACTCAGGGCCCACGTATCGCCCACTAGGCGTGTTCCATTTGGCTTCTTTGAGAAGCAGTGACGATGACTTGACTTCTTTCTACTTCGATATGATATCATGATTTTGCAAGGACAGCTTGCTCCTGGCCTGGAAGATTGGTCGGCTGGCTGGAAAGGGTAGATAGTTTGCAACATCTGTGCTGAAAAGCCAGGCGACTGCACCCAATTATTTACTAAGCAAATAATTTACGGATGAATGAAAGATAATTATCCAAATTATACTTTGGCTGTTTGAAACCCAGAAACTGATTAGCATCCGTCACATACATCGTGCAGGTTCATAGAGCACTTGGTGTTCATAAATTAATTACAGCAATGTAACGGTTTCTACGGATACCTCGGATTACCAACCACGCATGTAAGGCACGTGACTTTGATGTTATCAAATCTGGAGTGAGGGATAGCAGCGCAACAACCACTGGCAATCTCAATAAGAACACTTACCACAATACCCACAGTCATCAGCCGAGCATGCAGTATAATCCGGCTCAGATCCCGAATCATACTCACTGCCATAGTACGAATCATACCGCCTGCTCACACCAACAAAATCCTCCTGCTCCTCCTCCTCCTCATCATCATCATCATCATCAAGTCCATTCTCAACCGGAGAATCCGCCCGCCCCTTACCCTCTTCCTTCCCATTACCCTCCCACCTCTCCCTCAACCACCACGGCAACGCCTCTTGCCCCTCCGCAGCCTGCATCCTAACCTCCAATTTCTCCTTCCCTGGACAATATACCTCCATCAACACATCAGTCCCACTGTGACTTTTCTCCCGCGCAATCCTCACCAACTCGCGTAACAACACTGCAAACTTTTCAATCCCAGTGCTATTCTCGACTGCCCAGTCCTGTACGTCGGGCTCGACGTTGCGGACGGAGATGTCGGTGAATAGGCCGTGGCCGTCGTGGTAGGCGGTTATGAAGTTTGGGATGCGTTTGAGCCAGAGTTGGGGGAGGATGTCGGTCATGTCTATTTTTTTGAAGTTTTTGGCGGAGCGGGTTTTGAGGTCGAAGAGGGTGGTGTGAGGGGGGATGGTGGAGGTGGAGGGGATGATGGTGGGGGCTTGGATGGTGAGGGCTTGAAGGGAGTGGATGAGATGTTTTTCGGGGGAGGCGTTTTTTTCCTTGTCTTCATTTTTAGCATTAGTGTTGTTGTTGTTGTCTTCGTTGGGACCGGACCGAGGAGGTGGAGTGGTGTCTTCGGGTAAGAGGTCGAGGATGTAGCCGTCGCTTTCGAAGCGGAGGAGATGAGTTAGGCCGCCGAATTTGTAGCAGATGATGCGTTGGTGGGAGATGGAGTTTTTGACGTCGTCCTCCCAGGTGGTGTAGGCTTCGGGGAAAGTGTGGCCGTAGCCTCGGACGCCTTCGATGAGTTCCTTGGGGTCGTTTTCTTTGCGGACGAGGAAGACAGTGCGGTTGATTACTTGGAGGTTGAAGCGGAAGGGTTTGTCGACGCCGCGGGCGAAGCGGAGGAGGTTTCCTAGTGTGCTGCCGCAGGCGAAGATGTCGATGTCGTCAGTGCGGTAGCGATAGTCTTGTTCGAGCACGGCGTTGACAGCGGGTGCCATGGGATAGGATGGATTTTTTGCGGCGTTTAAGTCGCGGAAGTATTGGCCACTGTCTTCTTTCAGGCGTTGTGGCTCTGTGAGAGGCGTCCATTTTGGGGGTTTTCCTGGGTAGGTTTAAAGTTAGACAAAGATGGAAACTGAAGATGATCATATGAAATTATACTTACCTGGTACGACAATAGTAGGACTTGTTTCGTTTGTCCAGTTGTAGGATGCAACGTACTCGCAGCCAGATATCTCGGTAGAGTGTGAGGTAGTATTCGCTCCCACGTCAAGGTCTGACGCGCTGATCGTATGGAAGAGATCTCCGAGAGGGCGTTTCGTAAAATCAGGCTTCGGTTGTTCCCTGACCTTGTTGAAATATGGATATCTACCGCCTTGGCCTTGCCCTCTTCGTGGAGCAAAGCCGCCTCTGCTGCTAGTGCCTGTGAATGGATTCATCGTGGCAGTGTTTGCAATAGAATCCAAAAAGGGCGAAATCAATGTTGGGTTGTTATGCTGGCCAGGAATTGAGTCCTGATTCCAAGGCTTCTTCCTGAAGGCGGCGGCAAGCTGCTCTTAATCAGTTCATGCTGCCTGGACAAGGCTGAGGCAATTGCGGCGTGGTTTGCTCAACATACACAAAAGGATGGTACAGCGCACAGCTGATAGGCTTCGATCGGTCTAGTTCCCACCATGCCATGCAGGCAAACGTATCGAATTGCTTTGCCGCATTGTAGAGGGCGGGGTTTGTCTTCCAATCGTTTGCACAGCCTGCTATCGGAGAGGCGTCTCGTATGCGCTGTGCCTTCTACCACCAGGTCACCCATTATGCCTTGAGTCGTTCAAAAGAACCAAGAATTCTCATAAAGTACATGCAGAAAATACACAACTTTCAACTCTTTGAAACAAAAATATCTATCCGCAAGACATTAGCCTTTGACACACATGGCGGACCAAACGGCTGCAGCAAAGCGAGCTGCGGGGCTGACGAAGCTCTTCAACGCCGTCATCCATGGCCATCGCGAACTCAAGACGGCATCTGATGGCGGCCGATTCCTGGAAGCGCTGTGTGCCCAGGAGGATGCATCCAAGTGCGTGGAGTGTTTGGTCGCAGCTCCTGGCGGCTTGGGCGCGGTTGCGAAGGCGTTCCGTTTCTCGGGCGATGGCGCTTTCCTGAACGGCTTGGCCTCTTCCGTCCTTCTACATCTCTCCCAACCATCCGTCAAACAACTTTACGGCGGTCAATTCCTTGAGCGCGTTCTGGAGGCTATTGTGCAGCCTCCAACATTCTGGAACACGCTTGTGCAGGCACATACTACTGAGCTTCTCTCCGAAGACGGCACGCGCGCCTTTGCGTGGCTGTTGCTCGAGCTGTTACGCAGTCGCTCCAATGATATACCAGATGTGCGATCCATCGCTGAACAAGTCACCAGTGATAAATCGCTCATCGATTCGGAGTCTCTAGATGTCCGCAATCTAGGCCAGAAAATCAAGCACGTCCTAGAAAGCACATCTGATGATTCTGTCGATGGCCCCGGTGGCAGGCACGACAACGACAAAGCGGACTACCGCAAGATCAAGCTATTGCCAACACCAGATGAATTTGTGTCGGACGCGCAGCCGTTTTACAGGCGTGCGGATGTTGTTGCTTCGGCCGCTCCAGAAGGCCGCAGCCTGATGCATCTCGACAATCAATTTCGCCTGCTTCGCGAGGATCTTCTAGGTGAATTGCGCAACGACTTTCAGATTGCCATTGGTAAGAAGAAGGGGCGGCGTAAAGTAATCCTCGAAAAACTGCAATATGCTGGTATTGACTGCGGTCCGTATACGAAACACAAACCTTGCTCGTTGAAGCTTCGTTGTCCAAATGGTATCCCTCAACTACGCAACCTCAAACACGTACTCGGGCCCAACGGCTGCTGTAGCAGAATTTCAATGAAATTGCCCGTGCTCCGCACGGGCCTATCACCTCAACGATAATATCACCTCAATGATAACGATATATTTCAATCGTACATTTAAGCTAAGTAAATATA